TGCCAAATATCTTTTGTCCAGATGTCTGGATGAGAGGTGGACCATGCTTGGTTGAAATGTAGCAGATGCCCCCCCCCCCACTGCTGGGTTTAGATAATCATGCCTTTGAGGCTTTGGGGTCCCGATCCCCTTTGTCTGGTCTGTTGCCAGTGGATCCTGAGAACCTGTTATTGAAGCCTCCGCGACAAAAGGGCTATTTGTTGAGGGTCTCCTGTTGTCTTGCCAAAACCTGGGTGGAGTATGGTACGAACGGAAAGAAGAGGGGCCTACTGCTCTCTTATCACCAAGCAGTATGGTCTTGGGTAGAGCCTTCTTCTGGTCGCGGGTTTCCACTAAGATTTTTTCCAGTGGATCCCCGAACAGCTTACCTCCCTGAAATGGGTATGCTGTGATGATGGCTTTAGATTGGTAATCTGCAGGCCAAACTCACAGCCAGACGATGCGGCGGGGGGCGCGGCGGCTGATGCCGTCACCCTGGAAGCAAAGACCGTGGTGTCTAGTATACTATCGGCAGTATAGGAGATAGCATTCAAGATCCTGTTGGCACCCTCCAGTAGTCTGTGGTTGCTGCCTGGTAACATCTGTATCGACATACGCATCCACACAATGGTTGCTGTAGACACTGTGGATGCTGCAGCGGATGCCTTGATTGCCATGGAAGTGGCCTCATGAGATTTCCTTAATGCAAACTCCGCCCACTTGTCAAGATTGTTTCTTAAATTGCCATGTCTGTCTTCAGAGAGCAACCCAGAGGATTGCAGGGCAGTCACTGGTGCATCAACCAGAGGTACCTGCAAAAGATCTGAAGCAGATGATATCAAAGGGTACGACTTATTAATAAATCCTGGAAATAGTTTGTTTGTTGTGGGCTTTGGCCACTCTGCCTTCATCTTTCTCACATAGAAATCAGGGAAGGGAAAGGCTTTTTCTGAGAAATCAGCTGGAGGAAAGAACTCATCAGTGATCTCTGTGCCATCTGTCTGCCCTTGGGCATTAGCACTCTTGTCCCCTGCCTTTTGGGATCCCTGTATATTGAGCGCTGATAGGGTACTAAGACAGCAAATATTGAAAATCCTCACCCTTGAAAAATCTAAAGGGCTGTTCTGTGACAATCGTTTTCCCCTCTTCATCGTCATTAGATGAAAATCCCCCCCCCATCCTTTTCACTAGAGACACGTGAGAGGCTATCCCTCTCACGTGAAGGCAGATCAAATAGGAAGTGCTCCTTGGGGAACCCTTTTTGTGCAGCTTTGGTGGGCCAGCTTCCTCTGTTCTTGTGCCTCCAAGGCGAGGGGGAGGAGGATCTAGACCCCCATGGCCCCCTGATCTACAGAAATGCGCTATTTCCTCCCTCATGGCTCTTCTAAAAGAAGGCCATCACGTTTGGAGATAAGGGAACAGACTCAGGATGACCAACGTTACCGGCCTGCAACTCGTCTTCCTCGTCCCCTTGAGCATTATCGGCACAATTATGCCCAGCTCGGTGATCCCTGCTTATAGGTCTTGGGGCGCTCCATGTGCGGGATTAAGCTCAAGAGTAAGGAGTGCCCCACACCCAGGACCACCAGAGAAAGATGGAGCTTAGCTCTGTCATTTTGGAGGCAGTACATTAGGTCTACTCCACCCCCAAGTCCATCATGGCTATGGAAAATACCCAGATGGACATTCCTCCTGAAGCCACCCCCATAGTTTCCCTCTTTAAACTGGAAAAATGAGGATTTAATTTTTTCCCGAGAAAAGGGGAATAACTGGAGTCAGACGAGTCATGCACAGATGTCATATAGATACTCCCCCTTTACTGCAGTAGCTTCTTACTGCCCGTGCAGAGAGAAATCCCCATGTGGAAGCAGACATTGCGCTCTTCTTGTTTGAAAATCTGAATGGAGATTTGCGACGGCCGAATCTGAACTTATGGCTGTGACGCTTTAATGTCACTGTTGTAACATTTAAAGGACTCCCAAGTTTTAACCAGTGTTAGGATCATTCTTTCCTAATGTACTTCAGAATACTATGGCCTCGGTAAATGCAGCTGAAAGAGTACACTGGGAGCACACATTTTCACTAGCCTTGCACATACAGATGGAAATAAATACGTATCATATCATATCACATCACATCACATCACATCACCCTAACCCTAATACCGTAAACTGGAGCTGCAACAGATGCCACATACTACAATGCACATGGGCATTTGCTTTCTGTGCGCACACAGGGTTCCTGACTCAAGAAGAGAAGCCACGTGCATAGGTTCCTTGCACATGGGCATTTCTCTCACTTCATCAGAATGCAATGGTTCTTCTTAATCATTTTTTCCCTGTACCTCTGCCGAGGTTGCTCTACCTATAGGTCCGAATGAGACTGTATAACCCATATGTTTTTCAGTTTGTATGTATATCACCACACACATCTCAAATATCTGGCTGCAGTACCTACTAAGCTACTGATACATGACAATCCAGCATGCTTCCTGCCAATTAAAACTCCCAGATCTTCATCTCCAACAGACTGGACTGGTTTGTACAACTATCCTCCTAAGCACATTATCCCTCCGCTCTTTCTCCAACCTGTCATCTTGATGATAAATGACAAGAGTACCAGAAAATGCATCCTCAGCCAATACACTACAATGGCAAATGCATTGACAACATGCATTAGTACATCTCCGCCCTTCCAGATTTCTGCTTGTGATATACAATAATTCAGCTTCACCACAGGCTGTACTGCTTTTGTGTCATATTTGACTGTAATTGCAAGCAAACAGGGTACATGAATATTTGACAGCACTGTGTGATGGATCTGCCTAGGAGAAGGGTGAAGAGGAGAGTGACTAGGTGAACATTAGGTCAAGGCCAGCTTTACAGTTCTCTAATTCTGTGATCACACTGCTTCTGACAACCTATGCCTACTCAGCAAATTCATCACTGCTACACTGTGCAAAGCACACCCTCACTATACTTCTGTTGAACTACAGAAAATGACTGGAGTCTTTCAAAGGAGAAAAAATGGGTGATGGTGTATAACTTGCCCTAGCCTGTCTCATAAGTAACAAAGGAAGCCTGTCCCTTTCCAGAAAGAAAGTTGATGCAACTGACCTGCATCAACAGGGTACACTCAGTTTGGTGTAGTGGTTAAGAGCATGGACTCTAATCTGAGGGAACCGGGTTTGATTCCCCACTCCGCGCACAAATGATCATGCGCATGCGTAAACGTCAGTGTGTGTGGGAAATTCCCGTTTGCCATGGAAGCGGCATGTACACTCAGTTTGGTGTAGTGGTTAAGAGCATGGACTCTAATCTGAGGGAACCGGGTTTGATTCCCCACTCCTCCACATGCAGCTGCTGGTGTGACTGTGGGTCAGTCACAAGTTCTCTGAGAGCTGTTCTCTCAAAAGCAGTTCTCAGAGAGCTTTCTCAGCCCCGCCTACCTCACAGGGTGTCTGTTGTGGGGAGGGGAAGGGAAAGGGATTGTAAGCTGCTCTGAGACTCCTAGTGAAGGGTGGGGTATAAATCCAACCACCACCTCCTCCTCCTCCTCTTCTTCTTCACCACTACCACCACCACAAGCCATGGATGCAATTAGGTAATGTTAGTTGCTTAGTTTAGCAATAGTGGCCCATGGAATGCAAAATCAAAGGCTTCCTCCCTGCCCAAGACAGCCAGCAGGAAGATTCATAAGTCTACATAAAAATGCCATGTTTTGTGACAACAGAGCAGCTAAGCCAATGGCAGCCAGAAGGGTCAGCTAACTTAAAATAAACTTGGAAATATTCATTCTACACTAGAAGGCTAACATATATAATCACATTTTATTGATTTTGAGGATTCATTCATTTTATTATTATAAAACATTAGTTGCTTCTCTGTTTGAAGCGCACCTAAAGTAATGTACAATAAATTCCAACCTCCCTGCTACTGACATTGCCACCTGCACATTAGTAAACAGTGCCTCTAAGTAAAGTTACTTACCACTTACAGTTTTCTTTCTGTAAAGATAAGACCATCTGGGACAACCCCAGAAATTTACTGACTTTGACTTTGGGGGCATTTTTACCCAACTTGGAGGAGGAGTGTTCACAGAAAATACCAGTCCAAGAAAGCATAATCACTCTGGAGAAATAGCTCTCCCTCCTGATAACGTGATATTACCTCACGACAGAGAGTTATTTCTTGGGATACAAAAATACCACAGATACAATGTTAGAAATAATTGGTTTTATCATTTTTCCATGACCATTTATGAAAGTTTGGTCGTTTTCTAATGTCTTCTGTTCAAAACACAGTTTGCTAGTATGAGGAGAGGGTTAAGCTATTTAACATAAAAACCATAAATCCAGCAAAATAACAGTGTGAATTTAAAAATGCTCATCGTCTACATTTGGCACCTGCAGTGAACTGCATTTAGTGGCCATTTATACTAGGTTCCAAACCAGAAAAAGGCCAATGGAAAGAGATGTGAGGAAAGTGCTAAATTACTTGCCAGCTTGAAGACTGTTGTCAGAAAGTTCTCTGTAAGCAGTAATTAGATACAACAATTGTGGATGAGCCCTTTGTCACAGCAAATATCTCAGTTCACCTAAAGGATCTGCTGAAGGTAATCATAGAAGCAAACAGAACTTAAGTAGAGGAGGAACAAGCCCGAAAGTACGATGGTTTGTGTTATGCAACAAAACTCCTCAACACACAACACAAAAGTCAGCCAGTCTCTGTTGCAAACAATCTCAGACCGACATCAATGCCAGAGATCAGCCAAAGTCGTACAATCAACTATAATCAGAGGCCACATTGACATAGAACCCGAGCCCAAATCCCACTGCCCAAAACAACTTTACAACTAAATAACAATACAGCATAATGCATCCAAATATGTTCACTTGAGCAATACTGATCTACATGATCAGAATACAATCACCACTTGTCATAGCCATGGGCAGGACCTAAGCCATTGCTAGTCTTGGTAATGCACCCCCAAGTACAAGAGAGGATGGTGAAAAAACTTACCCTAGAAATGCCAACAATTTGTTCATCTGGAAGCAAACTGATGCGCACGAAGCAGGACTCAAAGTTGACGTCTTCCTTCTCCATGAGATCTTTCCCTTGCAGCAGGGTGACATGCAAGGTGTTGGAGTTCACATCATATTCCATATTGACTTCCACTTGACCCACTATGAACTCTTGGCCAAAGTTGTTCCCAATGGAGGAGATGGAGCTAAGCGAGTCCGTTGAGATGGATTTTTTCAAGGGTCCATATGGTGCTAATTCAAGGTCTCTGTTCATCAGCTCCAGCGTGCCCAACTCATTAATGTTTTCAAAGGTATCATCCATTTTCAAACTTGGCTTGCAAAGAGGAGATGTCCTTTCTCCAGCCTTTCGGAAACTGTTCATACCTCTCTGCAGACCAGAAGAGAGAACAGCACAACAAGTGTTTACTCATAACTGCCTTTGAATGGTTTACTAGTGTGTATAAATACTGTGTGTGAGCCCAAAGCTTATACAACTAGCAATATGAACATATCCAAGCAGAGTGAATGAAAAAAAGCTTTTATGTCCTCAAATAAAATTTAAAAATTTAAAAATGGCATTTTTGAGATTTATTGTACAAAAAGATGATTTGAACTTTAGAAAGGCAGCTTCCTCATCTGCTCCCTCCAAAGGAATTATTTCCATCGTTGAAAAGTATTTTCCTACTGGAAGGGAAAATGGAAGGATATGGAAACCAAATTGAAAATTGTGATCATGCAGACATATTGTTATATTAGGAACACTTTAAGACAGTAAATGTTACCTATTTCTCCACTTTATTCTGCTCCTTCTCCAATGTATATGTCTCCCCCTCACCTTTTACTGCCATGGCTATTCTGTGAGGTACTTTAGACTAGGAGAGCATGACTGGCCCAAGACAACCTAGTGTGTTTTGTGGCTGAGTAGGGTTAAGTGGCTCAAGTGGTTAAGACGCTGAAGTGCAGGCCGGAAGGTTGGCAGTTCGGCACCCGAGTGCCGCATGATGGAGTGAGCTCCCGTCTGTGGTTCCAGCTCCTGCCAACCTAGCAGTTCGAAAGCAAGAAATTGCAAGTAGATAAATAGGTACCGCTTCGGTGGGAAGGTAACAGCGTTCCGTGCACCTTGGTGTTTAGTCATGCTGGCCACATGACCACGGAAACATCTTCGGACAGCGCTGGCTCTTCGGCTTTGAAACGGAGATGAGCACCGCAACCCTAGAGTCGGATTCGACTGGCTTTCGAGCAAGGGAACCTTTACCTTTAACTTTAGGGATTTGAATCCAGGTTTCATAGGTCCTAACCTCACACTCTAACAGCTATACTACGGCCCCTGTCACACGGGCAGGAAACTGCAGAGGAGAAGTGTGGCTGTTTGCCCCGGGGCAAACTAACATGCAGTAAAGCGATCAGACCTACTGTGGAGGTTCTGTGGAGGTACTGTGGAGGTTCCATGGCAAGGGAGAGGTGCCGATCACAACACACGCCTGCGCGCAATGAAGAAGCGCGCGGCGCGGCGAACTGGTTTTCTTTTTTTGTGTACACTACGAATGCGCATGCTCCGTTGGGTGCGTGTGCGCATCCACGGAGACGTGAGGGGAAAAAAACCCTTTTCCGCAAGGGGACATGGGCGGGCGCCGGATACCACCGGAAACGCGATCAGACGTCCGCCCTTGCCCCGCAGTTTCTGGAAACTAGTACCTCCAAGGTACTAGTTTTTTGCTGCGCTTTTTCGGCAGGAAGCCTCAGTTGTGCCACGGAAGCGCTACGCTTCCCAGATGTGCTGGTGAGATCGCGACCGGAAACTCCGCTTGTCTTCCATATCTCTTGCGTGGCTAATGTTGCGTGTGACCGCAGCCTACATTACTCTGGATCTTGTGTTATGGCTGCTACCCAGAAGCTGCTAGTAACCCTTGCTTCACAGGGCAACCTCCACATGGGAGCTCTTAATTTAAAAGTTGCCCATAATTTGGTGAGCCTGGTTACATGGAGATGTCAAAGAACTTCTCATGGCAAACCCCTTAGTTTTGAAATTGTTTTTAAACTTTTTGTTATTATAATAAAATGCATCTTTTTAATGAATATACATTTTAACAGAACTCATGGCATACCAAATTCAGCCAAGTTCAGCTACACTGAAGAACTGAATGAAACACTTCATGCACGTAAGAAAGTAGCTCTGGCTCATGAAAGTTCCTGCCACAATTGGTTCATTTTTAAGGAGGCACAAGAAAAAGAGGAGTCCAATTACAATAATGCATCTGGTGCAAGACTAAAATTGCCACTTTTCTAGAACTCTGTATCCTTTAAACATTACTTTCAGTTTTTACCATTAGAACAAAGTTTGAGTCCAGTGGCAACTTTAAAACCAACAAAGTTTTACTCAAGGTGATTTTTCATGCGCAGGCACACTTCCTCAGACACAGTTTTCACTATTAATATACTTAACATTAATATACTTAACATTTCCAAGTGGTCTTCATGTCTTTCCTACTTTATAATTTAGGCACCTGCATTATTGCGTTCCCTTCTGTTGTTCTACAAAATTCAGTTAATGGCTGTCCCATCTGGATATTTTATTCGTTATTAAATTTAATAATTATTAGAGTAATAATAGTATTTCCAGGAATAACTCCTGAATTTACACAGTACATTGAACTGGGGGTGCAAGGGGGACACGCGTGAATAGGACTCAGGTGAATTGCAATGAAAGTGTCTCCAGAATACCAGTGTGAACTGAAAATAACTTCTGTGCAATTCCTCATTGAGTGAAATGAAGAGCCAATACCACTAAGTATGCATTTCTTGGTGTTTATTAAACAGAAAGCTTGATCCTCCAAAATCATAAGAAAGTCTGCTATTGACTTCAACAGGTTTTATATCGTAAACAATAATGAACATGACTATCTTTTATGCTAGTAATCTAGACTGTTTCTAACAAGGTGACTATAACTATGGCTTCAAGCCATTAAGTCCTCATCCTCTGTTGGAATATATTAGCTCTGACTGAGAATCAATAACTCAATTTATGCAGCCTGGAGTTTTCCTGTGTTTGCCGGTGTTAATAGCCCTACTGAAGGCTTTAGAACTGCATCCAATTCTGTTCCCCAGCACATCTTCTCCTGCCAGTGTTCTGCCTGTCTCTGGAGGGGATACAGGAATCAAAACATGCCAGTTATTCCTATTTATGAGGCAAATAGCCAGACCGTGAGGGAAAGGATTAATGCTATATTAAGTTCAAAGGAAATCTAAAACATGGCTGCGATCACACACGCCCATAGATCCAACATAGGCGCAAATGCCCGACGGATCTAAAGGGCGTGATCAGACAGCAACATCTGGGAAGCGTCCCGCAGTTGTTGGCAACCTGTGCTGCTCCGCCATGGAAGCAGAGTTTAAAGACACTGGGGGAAGTCCGGTAGTAAACGGGTTCCAATGAACTTTCCCCTGTCTGATCACTCAAGTGTGCGCTCATGCCGTTGGGAGGGTCTGATCAAGCCATCCCGGCATGGTGCCGTTTCCCCCCTTTTGCAGTATGCGCATCATCGCATACCCATAGGGGGCGCTCGGTGCGGAGGTGCAGCTACGAAGGGAGATGTGATCTCGCAAATGCCGGTCAAATTCCTCCGGTGGGAATAGCTTCGCTTCCCCTCCGCTTCAACTGGTGCGTGTGATCACAGCCCATGTTTATTTTTTTTTATCAAGTATAGAATATCAAAACACTTAGGCCAATCCGGCATGTAAGCACTAAATCATTCATCTGTTTCTACAGTTGGAGATATATATTAAATAGAACAACTACTAGAATAATAAAATACATGTTAATTTGGACATGAAATTCAGCTAAACAGTGATTCACTTGTTATGTACACCATCAGAGGACATCAAAGCATTTAATTTCCAAATATTTTTGTGATGGTTTCGATACGCAGCAAATTTTACCAAGGTCAGTGATTGCCAAGATTGATATCAACTTGTTTTGAAGAGGAAGTATTAACATTCTCAAGTATTGATTCCCAGAAGATGTATACAATCTATCCACAGAAGACAAACAGCTATACTTGGCTGAAGTCAATAGAAGGATTATCACCAGTTTCCAATGAAGTCCTTCTCTAAGGGACTTTCCAGGCCCTATTTGAAATATATCTTACAGCCAAGTACAACCCCTCACACACACCAAGTGTCCAGTTTACAGCCTTTATGAACTGGACAAATGGCCAATGTTCCCTCTAAGCTGTGGAGTCCTGTGAGCAAAAATTCTTCTTTGTGAGCCACTGGCATTAACGTTGTGAGCGAGGGATTTGGCTCCTGCATAAATTAGCTTGCTCTGGAGCCATCCTTCCTGAGCGAAGAGAAAAATGTGTGAGCCAGAGGTTTAAAAACTGTGAGCTAGCTCACACTAACTCAGCTTAGAGGGAACACTGCAAATGGCCCAAATCAGAATGACCAGCATCAGTCTTTGATATCAGGCAAATCTAATGCATATAAGATTTGAAATGAAAATCTAATGCATATTCACTTATCTCTTGACATTACTACTTCACATTAACATGATGACAATGCAGTTACTGTAACAGATCACAGAGACCAAACCTCACAGAGACCAAACCTTCATGCCTTTATGTGTCACTGAAATCCAAACTGAACTAGAAGTCCCAATTAAATCTGTGCTAGAACACCCTATACATCCTCCACAATGATCAATGACATAGCGGTCGTGATATGTCAACATTCTTGGTAGAAAACAAAACTGACTGCTTTATCTATACAGAAAAGTGTTGTTTTCAAATACTAAATCCTCTGATTTAGCTGGGAACAACAGGTTAAATTTAGCTGGGAACAACAGGTTAAATTTAGCTGGGAACAACAGGTTAAATTTAGCTGGGAACAACAGGGTAAATCACTATGACATGAGAGAATAAAATTTGATTAAATGAAAAAAATATCCAAGCCTTACCCACCTAATAACTTAACCTTGGCCAACACCACCAATCCTAGATGTTTAAAAGGCCTTACAATACTTCCAAAAATGCTCAGGCAGGTTCAGGCTTTTGCAAGTCTCAGGAAGAAAGATTCTATACTTGTGAGTCATCCACAAAAAATGCTTCCATCTTTGTGCCTGTCCCACGAATGCAGAACGTTTGCATTGCATTAACCTGAAATGCAGATCCTGAACTCAAGGGAGAGCTCTTGGTCAAATGTGGATATCACAACAGGGATGATGGCTGGCTGGCTGGCTGGCTTTTTGTATATAATTCTCTAATTCTGTATTTTCATTTCAACAAGAAAAGCAGTAAGCAAAAAGAGAACATAATAGCAATAGGTGGCATACTGACATAACCTTACTGCTTTTCTTGTTGAAATGAAAATAAAGCATTAGAGAATTATATACAAAATGTAACTTTTTGTGGATCCCTGAAAATTGGTTGTAGAGAAGAAGGGTTATGTTAGAAAATCAGGTTTATGTAAAATTCATAAGTTTGCAGATGTGTCTGGTCTTTTCCTTCTCTGGGAGCAGAGTCCTTTGCAGGACAAAAATAAAAGACCTCTCTCGCTAGCCCAGGGTTGGCCTGAGAACACAGGTTAACTTATGGATTCCTCAACAACTTCACAGTCAACTGCTCTTTACCTTTTGCTTGATCTGAGAATATGTAGTCCCATACTTTTGCTCCAGATATCTGTAGTCATAGTTTGGAAATGGGGATGGTGCAGGGTAGCTGCCAGATTTCCACATTTTCCACAGGTTTACTCCAATTATTCCCAGCAGAGCAAGTGCACCAGTAATATAGATGCCTATTTCCCATCCAGGTGGACTCTTTATGACTGCAAAAAAACAACAACACAGTCATATGAGAGAAGAATGTAACCAAACCTACCCCGATATACATGCATGTACAGCGTATTAAAAAAAAAAAAAAAAGAAAAAGAAAAAAAAGAATGGCTTTCTATATGAGAGCTTTCTAAAATAAGTCAGTAATGCCAATGTGAGAAAGAAGTTGAAATACCTAGCACAGATTATTTTAAATTTTATTCCACAGATATACAGCATTTCTTGACTGAATCTGCCAGAACGGTCAACATATTTTTAGTTGTCAAAACAGAAATGTAGCGCCTCTGTATAAACTTTTTAAAAAATGGATGGATTTTTAATTTAAAAGATAGAAGGAACTTCGAATACAGGGAAATGCAGGTATTTTATTTTTATACTCAATGTATATTTTCTTTTGACACAAACTTTTGCTAAACATTAGGTGTTTCTATGAAATCTTTTTGCATTTTTCACCTTGGATTTCCATAGCTTTTAGAATGCATCTATTTTTATTTTGATGATTATCAAAATACATTTCTTTTATCAATGGTTTTGCAAAATAATCTTTCACATTTTGGCAGTCTACTCTGCACACACTGTGTTTCCATATTTATCCAAATCATTCTTTTCACCAGTCTTTGCACTGCAATCATCTTTTCAACAAAGATTTATGGCCAAGATTTCAACTTTATACTATTCAGGATTTCCCCCTGTGACGCTTTCTAAAAGACTCAGAGGCAGGTAAGAGTACACTGCATTCTGTTCACTTCTCAGAGATACCAATTTGAAAAACCTCTAGAAACCTGTTGGAAGAATACAGCCCTTTACTGGGAAGTGGATGGCTCTGCGGCCCTCACTGTCCCTACTTGCTTAGATGGGATGGATCCTTTAAAAAAAGAAAAAAGTCTTAGCAGTGGCTCCCAGACAACATATTTTTAAGAAAAGGATTTCCTGAGAGCTGCCCACAGCCGTGATGCTAGTCTTATCAGAAGCAAGAGAAAATTCCTCAATGGCTTTTAAGCCAAAAGAGGCTGGAAATTAACTAGAACATGTACCAACCCAGAGGTCTACATCAGGGGTGTCAAACATGCAGCCCAGGGGCCAGATCAGGCCCCCGGGTGGCTTCTATCAGGCCCGCAGTGGAACTGGCTGTCTTCTGCTTCTTCTTCCAGTTCTGCTGCTGCTGCGTCATCGTAGGTTTGCAGCTGACAGATACGCACCTGAACAGCATACTCAAGATTGCAACAGCACAGACATTTTGATGCAATAATTCAGAGCAAGAGGTGTCCGTTATCAGACACTGTTAAATAAACAAAATATTGCAAGAGTGCTAATGTTTTCAGCATGTTTTTATTTTAAGTAAAAAAAAAACTTTGCTTTTGTGTCCTTTATAAAATTTATATCTCCGCTACCTGGTGTTACATTTTATGACACCCATGGCCCGCCCCAACAAGGTCTCATTTATGTCAGATCTGGCCCTCATAACAAATGAGTTCGACACCCCTGGTCTACATTAAGAGGGGGGAAAGTACATGAACAGAAAAAGCTGCCTTATACAGAGTCAGAATCTCCACAAATAAAGTCCTAACAATTTCATCAGTGTTTCAGATTACTTACCACTGAGTTGGTGTTGAGCAGTGTTGCTGTCCATGGCTGCTATCCTGGGCTAGAGCAATGGCCTTAAAAAGTGAGAGAGAAAGAGTGATGAAACAGTGACAGTGAAATAATTGGATGATGCTGGGACAGTGCTGTTGGTTCACCAGGGCTCTGCATGGACGCCAGACCAACTCACAGGATCTTCCAAGACAACAGGCTTGTATTCTAAGCTCATCAACAAAGAATGAATAGCAATCCCCTACATCTGTTCCCGCAAATACAGACATTTCTTTTCCCCATACACATTTTCTTTTTAATTTTTTTAATGTTTTTTTTCCAATTTTTAACAATTCTAACACTTCAAACAGTGAACAATTAATCTTCCAATTACATTCACATCCTGTAAATAGTTCCTGAGTATGTACAACGTTATAACATGTTCAAAGAATTACAATACATTACTCATCACACTTCCGAATATGTTTTCTGTAGAAAGATAACAGACTTGGCGTAAACTTAATAGAAACATTAGGAAGCAATCTGAACTATTGGAGCGGTAAGAAAGAGAAGAAAGAAAAGGAAACTTCTATTATCAACTTACAATAACAATTACTACATATCATTCGACCATTTGGAAGATTTAATGTGAAATATTAGAGCTAGTGGAGAAGAAATAAGTAAATAAGTATGAGATTTTGCGGAACTAGTCATTACATTAATCTTATATCCATTTGTGGTATTGAGACCAATCAGATGAGATAAATTGTTTTTGTGACAGATAATCCAGCACTGGGTACCATTTTTCACTCCACTCAGACTTTCCCATATAGCTCCGACCCAATCACCATTGTGTTGGAAAGGGTGTAACCAAACAGGAAGTTATGCGCATTGTTGGTGGCAGTGTGATAAAATTAAGAAATTCTGGCAAGAAATACTAAACATGATACAAGACATAACCTCAGTCCAAATTCCACTAAAACCGGAAAACTTGTTTTTGAATACCTGGCCTGAAAATCTGAATTCAAGGGTACATAGATGCACAATAGAAGTCCTTCTAGATGCGGCCAAAACAGCAATACCATTGTACTGGAAGGAGAAAGAGGCGCCCTCAGTACAAATATGGTACAAGAAACTTTGGACTCATTACTTAATGGATGCAGTCTCCAACAAACTAAATTACATGTCACAAAACCTAATAAAGTCTAATCCCATACACATTTTCAACGTTCGTTTCAAACATTTTGTTCTTTGCCATTTCATTTATTCTTGCATTCATTTATTTTGATGCCCACTGGAGCTGATAGAGCCTCTTCCTCTCTATTGTTCGCCTCCACTTACTGGGCTGTGATCTCAGGTAGACAGGTGGCAGACAAGGGAGAGGAGAAGTGGCGGAGGAGGCAGAGGTGGAGGAGGAAGTGGAAGAAGGGACATCCCAGAGCAATACAGTACTTGAACAATATATGACACTTTTCCAATTCAGTTACATTACTCAGACGGATTAAACAAAATGGGGTTGATCGTTTTGGTTCTTCACTCATTTGGAAACACCCACATATTTTTTACTCTTTGATGTTAGCCCTGGGTGAAGTAGCACCAACACAGTTCATAATGATTCTCACCACACCAGTGAAACCTCTCATTATGGGAAACAAGGTTCCAGGGAACAGTCAGAATCAGATCTGCAACATGGGAATGAGAATACTAGCTTTCCTATGCCAAGTTTTTTTAAAAAAGAAAACAGTCAGGAAGACTTTTGTGTATGTTTTTGTACATGTATATTTTTTTCAAGTTTATTTTTAACTAGGAATAAGGCCTGTTGTGGAAATAAATACAACAAGATCTAGAAAGAGGCTCTGGGCGGGTGCCCTGGCCTTGGGCACTCAGCGTCAATTTGCTATGGTGACCTCAGCAGGGTATAATGACACAGAGCTTACAATTTTCTCCAGGGGAACTGATCTCTGCCATCTGAAGAACAGTTGTAATTCTAAGTGATCTCAAGCCCTCCTCTGGAGATTGGCAACAATGGTTCCCCAGGAGGAAATGGCTGGTTTGGAGGGTACAGTCTATGGCATTGTACCTGTCTTGGAGGTAGCAACCCTATCTCCTTCCCAGCCAACCATCAACCGTTATCTACCGCTCTGTCTTCAGCTTTCCATCTCTCACACACACACCTGGAGCCTCTGCCTAGGAAAGGTACAGTCTTTCTCCTCCTCATTGGGGACTCAAACAGGAGGGGAAGCAACCTCAGCAGGGTATAACAACTTAGAGTCCACCCTGCAAAGTAGCCATTTTCTCCAGGGGAACTGATCTCTACTATCTGGAGAGCAGTTTTAATTCTGAGTGATTGGCAACTGGAGACTGGCAACTGGAAATTGGCAACAATTGTTACCCAGGAGGGAATGGCTGGTTTGGAGGATGGAGTATATGGCATTGTACCTGTGTTAAGTACCACCCCTCCTCAAACCCCACCCTCTTCAGGCTCTACCCCTCAAATCTCCAGGAATTTCCCAACCTGGAGGTGGCAACCCTATCTCCTGCCAACCATCAACCTACTATTATCTGCCCCTGATCTCTACCATTTGAGTGACCTCCAGCCCTCACCTGGAGATTGGCAGCAATGGTTCCCCAGGAGGAAAAGTACAGTCTTTCTCCACAGTGGAGACCAAAGCAGCTTACATCATTCTCCTCTCCCCCTTTTGATCTGCACAACAACCCTGTGAGGTAGGTTAAGCTGAAAGTCTGTGACTGGTCTGAAATCACCCACTCAACTTCCACAGCAAGAACCTGGGTCTAGTAGACCCTGCTCTGAAGTGCTGCTATGCCTAGGGTAGCCAACCTCCAGGTGAAGCCTGAAGATTGCCGGGTATAACAAATGAACTCCAGACAATAGATCTCGCCCCTCCGGAGAAAATAACTGCTTTGGAGGGTGGATTCTATGGCATTCTATTCAGCTGAGGCCTCTCCCCTCCCCAAACTCCGGCTTCCTTAGACTCCACCACATAATATCCAGGAATTTCCCAACCTGGAGCTGGCAACCCTAGTCAGGACTTGCCCCAATGAGTTCCCCACAAAGGCCTGGAAAGGGCTTCCTTCCTTCGCCTTTTTACTGACACAACCAAGCTTTGTTGCCTAGCAACAACCACTGAGGGAAAAGTTAGTCCCACAGGAGCCAAGAAGGAGAAGTTTCCTCATCAGGAAAGACAGGCATTTTGGCAGTTTTTTTTTCTGTGGGGGAAGAGTCTCCAGGCCGGCAGTAGGCAGGGGAGAGGAGCGGACCCAGCACCCAACCAATGGCACGTGAGTACTCTTGAGTGGCAGTTGATGAGCCAATGGCTGATGGAGCGCACTGCACAGCCAATGGGAGAGCTGGAAATGGCCAATACATAAGGGAACTATATATATAGGATGCTTTGATGGATGGAGCTGGGGCGTGTCCTGGATCATCCCTGATATCAGTTGCAAAAACCACACAGAGAGGCAATTGTAAATCATGTAAGAAATGAATTGTCTGAATTTAAAAACATTTCCTGTAACTGGCAGCTTAATGCTGAGATGACAAGGGAAAGACATTGAAGTCCTCAGCTAGTGTTTTGGGAATATCTGTGAAGACAGAATTCTCCCTCTCTTTGGCACTGCATCACTCACCAGTGCAGGGTGTTTTGTGGAAATGCTGTATTAAAACTTGTTTCTTGGGTAAGGTGTCCAGGATTAGGTCACTAATTGCTCAGAACAGGGCCAAAGCCCTGCAACGGCTCTTCCCGCACCCTTCTATTTCCCTGCTGTTTTTCCGCATCCCCCTCGGAACATTAATCTCCCTCTGCATTGCATCCCACTTTCATTTTCCTTGTGCATCGGGTTATTTTGGAGCTTCCAACATAGTTTTACGGCATTGTCCTGGGGTATCTGAATGTGGTTTTGGACCAGACCTTTTGCCTCTTCTGTGTTGGAGGGAATAATAAGCAGATTACTTGACGCAGCTTTAGTCATCTCTGCCCATTCCCCCATCCCAATTTCCACTTCTATTTAACGTTCACCTAGCACACAACTTGGAGGGCAGGTAGAGGGGCAGCCTGGTGAGGTCCTCTGCGAGTTTGACGCTTCTTGCTTGCGGGGGGGGGGGTTGCACGTTGGACCCTAGGGAGGGATCTTTCCCCCCTTTCCCCAAAGCCAATCTGCACACAACTTGGAGGGGGATGTGTTAAAAGGGATGACAGGCTTGCCCATTGGAAACAATGGGAGAGGCTTGAAGGTCCATTTGTTTTTTGTTTTTTATTTAAACCCTTGGGACGCCATTCCTCCCGACAGACCAGCCGGCTGGCCGCTGAGCTTGCACTCCTGGAGTAGCCCAGAGGTAGCTAGCCAAAGGGGGTGGGAGAGCGGGGAGGAGGGGAGAGAAAGAGGAGGGGGTGCAGTGTGCCCCCATCCCTTGTTCACGCACATGGCCAAGTCGGTGGCCATTGGACACCCCCCCTCCACAGGTCCCAAGTGACATTAACCACAATTAAGCAAAAAAAAAATGCAGGTTTTGGCTGTAGATGCAGAAGGCACACACAAAGATAAACTGGAGAAAAAAGTATAGTGCAGAGGGGCAGGGACACAAAATTCGAAGTTAACCTTAAAGGCTCGACTGCTCAGATTCCCAGGAGTCCGGAGTAAGCTACAGTGAGCTGTTAGTGCAGAAAGGGCCAATATAACCTGCCACTGGGGGGAGGCCTGATTTAGTTTTCGTACCTGAATCTGCCTTCTGGGCTTGTTGGCAAAGAACTACTTGATTATTCCATTTCTTGATTAAGGTGACCAACGACTCTGTGAGGGTTTGCCCGAGACTTCGTTGCTTCGCCTCCCACCTTCAGAGCAGGAGCATCAACATTTCTCACCCCCAGGCGGTTCTAAAAACCAAGGGCTCCTCTGTCTCAGCTTCATACGGTTTCTTCTATAAAGGCTCCATTTGGACTGAGAGGCAGAAGAGAAAGATGCACCCTGAGAGCCAGTGTGGCCTAGTGTTTGGACAAGGACTGGAAAGCCCCAGGTTCAAATGCCCACTCTGGCATGAAG